CAGGACGTGTCGTTCCATATTCCACAAGGGAGCTGCACCGCTATCGTCGGATCCTCGGGGGCAGGCAAATCTACAATTGCCTCTCTCCTTCTTAAACTTTACCAAACAGGCAATAACCCACTCTCGTCCTCCAACCCATCAAGCGATATGACCGTCTCAAATTACGATATACAGACTCTGCATACTAGCATTCTCCGTTCCCGAATGGCCATAGTACCACAAACGCCCGTCCTCTTCCCCGGTACTATCGCAGAAAACATTGCCTACGGCCTATCCCGTTCACTTCCCGAAACAAGCATCAAAAGCATCCGCGCAGCCGCCACCGCAGCTGGCATAGCTGAGTTCATCGACAGCCTGCCCCAAGGTTACAACACGCTCATCGGCGAAGGCGGCACATGTCTATCCGGAGGCCAAGCCCAACGCGTCTCGATCGCACGCGCCCTCATTAGGAATCCCGATGTGCTCATCCTCGATGAAGCAACAAGCGCGCTAGATGTAGCTTCCGCTCAAATCATCCGCGAGACCATCTTCAGTCTCGTTCACGGCATCGAAGACACTGGATCCACCATCTCCTCACCCATATCGCCCTGGACCCGTTCAGGTTGGTTTTGGGATGAGATAAAGGGGGATTGGGATTACAAAGTCGGGTATCCCCTGCAGCAGCGGATGCCTGTGGGTAGTGGCAGTGATAAGGGCAATAGACCGAGGCAACGAATGACGGTCATCATCATTACGCATGCGCGGGAGATGATGGCTATTGCTGAGCATATTGTTGTGTTGGATCAAGGAAAGGTGGTTGAACAGGGTAGCTTCAACGAACTGAAGAGGAGAAGGCAAAGTGCTTTTGGAAGATTGCTAAGGGGTGTGAGAGAGTAAATTGGTTGAAGTAGGGGTTTGCATGGCGAACATGGCCATGTGTCTTGTTCTTGGGAGAGTTTTGTGTTTATTTCTTCTTGGTATAATTTCATGTACACACTGTTCTCTCGATATGGATGTGTTCATGTTGCTCTGTGCAAGCACGAAACTGAACCGGTGCATAAATACTAATCGCACTGCTACTGGATAGACTGATATATCAGGTTTAGAGCAGGCAGCAAAGTCGATAATGACGTAGCTGTTAGTGGCACCTAAGTACGCACGTTCTCTTGAGCATTGTTATGGTATTGTAGGAGAGAACAAGGCATTTGGCCATTGTTTCTGGGCCCAGTAATTACTCCGACAATACTTCACGAAGAGACATGAATCCATCGACCTCCGTTGAGCCCATCATGCAAATAGAAACCTCCAAAAGCAGAACGTGTATTTTTGGTTGATCATAGCTATAGAGTTTCTTCCCCTATCCCACACGCGCTTCCTATAGCTCACTATTATTCGGTCTCACGGATAAGCGTACAAGAAGGCAGTAAAGCAAACATTAGGACCCCGTTTGAAGTGAAAGATAACACCCTTGGCCGTGAATGGGCCGCAGAAGTACCATGATCATGTAGCGAACGAGGCAATTGTGCAATTTTGTTGTGAAGCAAGAATGAGCGCAGAACCACATAAGGAGAAAGTGCTCGTAGAGAACGGACCCAATAAGAAGGTATGCTCTTGAAAAGTATGGTCGACCCCGGTCAAGTCGTTAGATGTAGCGGCAGCTCTGGATTGACTGGGAGTGGAAGGATGGGGGACCTATTGCTCCGGTGGACCAGTTGCTAAGACCTGCGCTCATCTTTTGCTCAGCGTTGACATGATGCAATGTAGACTAAGGGGCCGCGAGGTCACTGTACAGTCCAGTACCTGTCCTATCCTGCTCGAATCCCCTTGTGTACTGATAGTTCATGTCTTAATCATGTTCAGCGTTCCGTTCGATGCCGGCGTTGTGGATTTCGATTACTGCAATGCTACTGACGCGCATCTTTCGGTTTGCTAGTTGGGCTCCCACAGCTTTCGCCTTCCACCGCCGCGAACTGGGCCCACTTTGGGGGCGGGGCGAGAGAAAGAGTCTGGATCGAGAGGCGCATTCGAATCATGTCGAGGAGCTGGTGGAGCTCGGAAGACTGGGCCTGGAGGAACGTATGCACCGCGCGGTGCAAAGTTACCACGGCCCCGGAAGGCTGGTCCACCGCGACCGCGGGGCGCCATATGACCTCCACGGCCACCGCGAGGGGATTGTTGCTGGTTTGTGCGAGCAAAATCGTTCGGGTCGAAGACGCGTTGGTTGTTGGTAGTGGCGGCGGGGCCCCGAGGGACGCGCTTGAAAAGTACCTCGTCCTCGTCATCGGAGATGTCTTCGGGCTTATTCTCGTTTACGTTCGTGTGTATGGGGCTGGACTTGGGTCGCTCTGCGGCTTTGGGTGCGATGGGAGAGGCGCTCTTAGCAGCGGTCGCTTCGACTTCTAGTTTGTGGATGGTGAGATGGTTCTTGTATTCGCGGTCTTCACGAGCAACAGCATCTCGGAGCTGCTCAAGACGTTTAGCGCGGATGCCAAACTTCTGAGCGATGGCCTGCTTGGCAGAGTCATTGGTGAGGAGGATGTAGGACTCCAGGGCTGCATCTGGATTGCCCTCCTTGTTGATGCGCCACAAGATGTGATTGAAGAGGGGCTGGAGATAGACAGGCACGGAGCCTTTGGTCGTCTTATCAGCGCGAGCCATGTCGGTACTGCTGCGTGCGGTACGGTCGGGGGACGCTCTGAGTAGCGTGGCTGCCTTGTCCGTGTGTGTGGCGGCGTCGATAGGCGCGGACGCCTTGCTCGAATGCGAACCAGGCGACTCGGGAGTCTTGGACACGTTCTCGAAGCTGTGCGTAGAGCTAATGGATGTGCCGTCGGACATGTCGAGGGCGTTGAAGGAGCTTTCGAGATCTTCATGGTAGTCGTCCTCGTCCGACTCGCTATCCTCCATGGAGAGCAATGTCTCGGGTAGCAGGAAGTGCTCCACCTCTCCCCACGTCGTGTAAGCTTCGTCGACGCCTTCGAGCTGGACGCGGCTCGCGGCTTCATTGGACGTGACTTCGTCGAGCCACTTGACGGCTTCGCGGGCGTCGGCGTGGATGCGCTCCGTGCCGTTCTTGAGGCGGTGGAGCTGAGTAAGGGCTTGTTGTGCGTTAGTCAAGGGGACAGGGGAGCTGCGATACTATAGCCTACTGTGCAGCGGGACATAAAGGCGTATAGCGTCCTGGGCGATCCACTTGCGGATGCCATCGCGGGTGCTCTTCTTGACGCCGGCGATCAGAGCGGTATCGTCGACGATGCAGTTGAATACCTTGCGCTTCGGTGGCTCGGGTGCGCGCATGGCAGCCTCGGGCTTGCCAGGCCGCGAGGGGCAGGTACTGCGACGCATGATTATCGCCGATGTGCCTCGCAGCCGAGGGTAGTGAGGGTGTAGTAGCGATCGGCTACGGTGGTGCGCGGATGGGAGCAGTAGGCAGCTTGGTTGGTGAACCACGGTTCCGGTTGGAGCAGGTCTAAGTGCGGGTTTGTTGTTGGGCGCCAGTACGTGCCATGGGTGTCGACGCAGGATTTCAGGGTGTGCGCATTAGATTTGCGCTGGCCAGTCGAAGCGCGGGAGCGAGGGCATCAGTCTTGGGCATGGTGCAGAGGACCATAGTCGTTGGTGTGACTGTCACGGACGGGCGTGTGAAGTTCGGGCCCGCATCACCGCACCATGATGCCCACGCCAAGTGGGGTGCGCCACGCCACGCACCCAGCCACACCAAACCAACTGTACATGATGTCTTGCATTTCATTCGCCTTGATAGTCCTTGCTAGTAACTTTCCACCTCTCTGGCACTGCTCATGTCTGGCATCCAGCCCTTGGGCCGCTCGTTTCCACGCACAGTCAAACCATAAAGACCCTTCTCTACCTTGTCCACGCACTCGCGCATCACGGGCATCTTCTTCGTCTCCAACTCTGCTGCAAACTTGGACCCTCCCGGTGCGTCGAACATCTCGAGCTGCAGCCGGATCGCCCTCAGGTCATCCAAGACAGTCCGCGGCTTCTGGCTCTCATTCGCAACTGGTGCTTCTTCGTCGATGTCCATCTTGTCGCCAGCATCGTCTTGGCCATTGCCTTGCTTCAGCCTCTTGTTCGCCTGTGCCTGTTTGCCAGACGGAAGTTTGCCGTTTGTCGCCATGCTCGTGACAGAGAAGCGCATCAGCTCGCCAGTCATATCGCAAACACCGAGAATGTAGTCTTCTGGCGTAAAGGAGATAGGTCCAGCTTCGCCGCTCATAGCAGCGATACGGCCCTTTGCTTCATTGTACGAGATCAGTGATTGTGTTTCAAGGTAATGCTGGAAGCTAAGCGCTTCCATAAACTCTTGATTGCCGCCCGTGATGTTGTGCGAGTAGCGGTAGGCATTCAGGCCCTGAAGGTCGGCGGCAATGTTCTGGTAGCGATCCTCAATCGTCTCCCAGTACTCCGCGTTCTTCTTGGTGACCCATGGTGGTACTGCTTGGCCAACAGCGCGGACCCTTGTCAGGTCAGTGTGTGTTTGGTCAGGCCGTCATAAAGACCTACCTCTGGAGAGTGAAGATGCTGCACAGTTGTTAGCAATCGACTACAAGAACCTCGATCGTTGTCTAGTACATCTTCTTGCTCGACGCGGTGATGTCACGCGACGCCTTGATGATTCTCTCTCGTCGATCATGGTGTTCATCTAGCTCTGCGCGGAAGCCTTCAAACATCGCCACAAAAGGCGATGAAGATTGCTCTGGCTTCTCGTCCGCCATTGCTGCGTCTCTTGGTCGTTTGAGGCCCATGGATCTGCGTGGATTGTGGGATTATACCCAACGTCAGGCAAACGCTGGGATTGTCCGCTAGTGCACGTCTTCACGTGGAGGCTATCGCGTTTACGGACTAAAGCGCTTTCGGCTGCCCTCACTCCTGGAGAGTCCATCCTGCAGGGTTTCATCAACACACCACCCAGCGAGATCGGTTCCGATCCACCTATCATCGTGCTCGCTTCTTTCAGCGTCTTGTCTGGTCAACTTGGCTTTTGTAATGCCGGAGACAACATGGCTCTTTCCTTTTTTTTCCGCAGTCCACCACTGGTCTTCACAACGTCAATCATCCTGAGAGTTATCTTCCTGTTGTACGGACTCTGGCAGGATGCAAATTCGGCTATGAAATACACCGATATCGACTATTATGTCTTCACAGATGCTGCGCGCTACATCTCGCGTGGCGAGTCCCCTTACGCACGGGACACGTATCGTTATACGCCCCTCCTGGCGTGGCTCATCTGCCCTACTGTATGGTCTGGGCAATTCTGGTTTTCGTTCGGAAAGGTCTTCTTCGCTATCGGCGATGTTGCTACAGGATGGATGATGTTTCGTATCTTGAAGCAGTACAAGAAGATGAGCAACGAGCGGGCTCTCAAGTTCGCCAGCATCTGGCTGCTGAATCCAATGGTGGCCACTATCAGTACAAGAGGTAGCTCCGAGGGACTGCTTGGAGTTATCGTAACGGCATTGCTTTGGGCGGTGTTGGCAAAGCAAAGAGAGCTTACTGGGTTCTTGCTCGGGTTCGCAGTGCACTTCAAAATCTACCCGTTCATCTACGCAGCCTCTATTGTTTGGTTCCTCGATGATACACAAGTTGTAACAGAGACAGAGACCCGACAACAACCACCAACTTCCTTGCTCGAGAGAACGCGCAAATTTGTCAATCCCACGAGAATATATCTCGTACTCTACAGTCTCCTTGCGTTTACGGGCTTGAACCTGCTTATGTACAAGGTGTACGGATGGCCATTCCTCGAGCATAGCTATCTTTACCATCTGACTCGTACCGACCACCGCCACAACTTTTCGCCTTATAATACGCTCCTCTACCTGAAATCGTCCCCGACTACGGACTTGGAGCCGACCACATTGTCTTCCGGACTAGAGCGTTTAGCATTCATTCCGCAACTGCTTCTCAGTGCTTTCTTCATACCACTAGCGTTAGCGAAGAAGGATCTTCCGAACACGATGTTAGCGCAGACGTTTGCCTTCGTTGCCTTTAACAAGGTCTGCACAAGCCAGGTAAGTCATAGGGTGAATTGTCGGTCTTGCATGAATACTAACTCTGTCCAGTACTTTCTTTGGTACATGATGTTTCTCCCATACTACCTTCCAGATTCGACTCTCCTACATTCAGCGCCCATCGGTATCACAGCACTTCTGCTCTGGATTGTGGGCCAAGTTGCCTGGCTCCAGCAGGGCTTTCAACTTGAGTTCAACGGCCGTTCGACTTTTGTTCCCGGACTCTGGGCTTCTAGCATACTCTTTTTCCTCGTCAATGCTGGCATTCTTGGTGTCATCATCTACGACACTGAGCATAAGAAACCAGAGGGAAAGGCTGCCCCAGAGAAGAAACCTTCATAACCCCGTTTTTGCACGCCACCTTTACACAAACACACATCAGCTCAATCCGGATTCAGCTTCACCCTCTGTGTAGCTTTCCCTTCAGCCTTGGACTTCATGTTTTCCCGGTAGCTTCTCTCTATACTAGTCGTTCTTTTGATCAACTCCCTGAAAGTCGCTGTCCCGCATCTTCCTTTTCCTCTTCGCAATTCTCGCACACGCCCCATGGTACCGACAGTCACCTCTCAATTGAGGGCATGCTAGCCAATCCATGCGGATCACGATGTCGATGCCAACCCAGCTGATACTCGTCGGACTGGCTCATAAGTTCGCCTGTCGCTTCGTATGGTTCCATACCCTTCACCGCTGCAGCTGCCGCCGGGACTGGATTATCCGACGACTCACGCGTTGTGGAAGCATCTTCTGCAACTTTTCTTCTTTTGCGAGTTTTGGACACGGGGCTTGGCTTAACGGATAACAAGCAAGAGATGTATGCGCTGAGAACAGGAAATCTATCTTGACGTTTTCAATTTTCCGATACATGATTAGAAAAGTTGAACCAATGTGTCGCACACTTACTGTTTGAGTGCAGAAAAACTGCTAACTAGTTACATTTCTTTGCATACATGCTACAACGAACATTGCTTAGATATAATCTAAGCTTTATGTCAGCTTCAGACTGCAAGTGTTAGTCCTAAGCTTTATCTACCTGCACTGTGCTTGTTACGAGTTACATTCTGAGGAACAGCTAAGCGCTACTTCGCTATCATCCCATATCCCATGTGATGATTTTTCCCCAGCACATCTTCCACTTCAACCTTGACCTGCACACCCTTGACTACTGGGACTTCATCTTCTTCCTTTCTCGATATTCTCCTCGCACAATTCTACGTTCTCACTTTCGACAGCGGTGGCACGAGCAACAGTACCCTTATTCTCATCCATCTCCTTGATCCCATGGAGAATGTTATGCAAAAAACTACCCGGCGCCACTAGTTCCTGGCTGTAAGAGAAGCGTTCTGGATCCGGAATACCGTAGAGAATGAATTTTAGAACGCCTGTGCGCTCAGACCTTACGACAGCAGAAATCGGAATAATATTGTCGTTCATGAGCGAAAAGGTTGTACTGGCTTTTGGTCAAAGCCATGACGGGAGGGAGTATGGCCATGGTCTGAAGACTACCTCCCCAATACCCTCTTCTGCCTCTCCCTCAATATCCTTCGCAGTGTCCTTGTTGCCTTTCTTCTGAGATGTAGATTCCAATACTGGAGGCATTGCCGTTGCCATGCCGCTGCAAGGCGGAAAAGAAAGGGGACGCGTTGAGCACGGGTCGAAAATTAAGTAGATGACCATGAAGCCAAGATCTTCTTCGATTTCGGCGTTTGAAGCCTCAAGAGCGTCGAGAAAATTTAAACGGAGACTGTCGAATCGCGTTAGGGGTTGGGCGCTCAGTGTTATGCGCTGACGAATTGTCCGCACAGAGAAGATCGTGCGGAACACTGTGGCGTTTTAGTTAATGATTCACGTATGCTGATTTTAGAGGTTCTCGTACGGGTAGTTCGTCGGAGTTAGGTAGAATGATTGGCGAAAAGAGGAGAATGTTGTACCGTCAGAAAGACCAAGCGACGGTGGAAAAGCTCCATCGACAGTGGGCGGAGGGAATCTCAAGGCCCTTGATATAGACGAAGTCGCATACAAAATCCGCATAGCGTTGTCCAGACACGAGTGAAACGTCTGAAGCAGTTATGCGTTGACAATGTTTGGGCGCAAGGCCTTTTTCGCTTGAGCAGATGTTTGTGTCTGAATTGGCAATGTTGTGCTCTTCTCTCACCGTCAGAGGTGGGACCGAGCTAAGGACCACAGTACACGTAGAACAAGAAGAGAGATGTGGTTGTTGTATGTAAGAGGGAGGAAGCCCTGTATATATACTACTAGGGCGACGCCAGTGAGTGTATCACGTGATGGGGTACTAACTAACAGTACAGAGATCTTGGTGTTGGGAACGAGTTTGACTCCCCGTCAGGTCCGAACCGACGAGGAAATTGGATAAGTCGTCTTGTCAAGCAGATAGCGAATCATATCAGTGTTGCAAAGGATGAGTAGTGCGGAACTGGCGTTGCACTGGCCGAGGTTAAAAAGTTAATCTACTATTACCCACAATTTACAGAAGTAGAAACAAAGCCAGACGAAGAAAAGAAGACAAAGACCGAAACTGTCCAATGTGTACCAGGGGAGATGATGAGGGTATCCAACTTTCGCTCAAAACGCGTAGATCAACCTAGATGCAATAAAGTGCAATATGCGCAGAAAGAAAAAAGCGACCCTTTCGCTTCGCATCGAAGCTATTAAGAAGGGAAATTAGCGCAAATGTATCAAATTCGAGCTGATAACAAGGAAAGAGGACGGACTAGGGACTGGGGCTCAGTCACCATCCCACATAGGAGGTACCCACTCCTGTCCCGGGTAACTAGTTGCCTTCATGGTGGGCTCGTCGTCTTCCACGGCAGGCAGTTCAAATACCTGTCTGCTATTGCTGTGACTCCCACGTCTCTCCCAGCTTGGAGCTCCTCCGGTGGTGCTACCGCCAATGCTTCTCAGGCTGCCGACCTGCCCGCCACCAGACGCGCTGCGCTCAAGCTCTCGGGCTCTTGCTCTTGCAGCCTCGCGCTCCTGCCTATCGCGTTCATGTCTCTCGCGCTTCTCCTTTTCGCGCTGGACGCGTTCCATGTGCGCAAGATTCTCTTGCTGTAGGAGCTGGCGACGTAACGACTCGGCGCCCATGTCTGGTGATGTGCGTTGAGGTGACGCAGCCATTGAGGCGGGTTGTGGATGCTGCAGGATGCCGATCGAGGGTTGACGTGGACGAGAACCTGGTTGTCGACCACGCGATTCGTCATCTAGATCCGTTGTGATATTGGGCGGTCGAAGTCCTTCGAGGCGACTCTTCATCAAACCACTATTAGGCATACCAGGACCATCATATGACGGTGGGGCTTCGTCTCGAATTTTCTCATCACACTGGGATGCGTTCCTGTGTGGCGAGACATAGACATAGTTTGGTGACGATGGGCTATGGGAATGCGGCCGTTGCCCCTCGACTGAAAAAGGCTGGGCGTTAGGAAACCCGGGTTGCATGGGACTATGGGCTGTTTTCGGTGGTGGAGGTGGGGCAAATCCGCTTGCAATGAAATTTTGAGGATCCTTGATCACCGTGGGATCGGGAGACATAGGCAGAGGATACGCAGCGGGTGGCGGGGATTGTCCCGGATGTATCGGCGTTGGCTGTACAGGTGTTGCGTCGCGGTTGATAATGGGACGCAGATCATGACTTGATTGTGCTGCCTGCGAGGTCGCATAGGGCTGTGTGAAACCTCGTGGCAGAATTTCCCTGAATCCACCGCCGTGTGCTTGAGCATGTGGAGGTGCATTAGTTGGCGCAGTCTGCTCGGGCGATAAACGAGGCGATGGTGATCCGGCAGCTCTCTCTTCCTGCTGCTGTTGTTGGGCGGTAAAGCGTTCTTGCATGTATTGTCCCTGTCGTGCTCGAACAATCTCTTGTTCGGTTGCTCCCTCTGGGAAGTTGAGATGCCATGGAAGATTCTGCTGATGGACTTCTGATATACTACTCATCCTTGGCTTCTGATACCGTTGGCCGCCAGGGGCTGGAGAGTAGCTAGGTATTGCTGGAGAGTTTGATATTGGCGACACGAGGGACATCGTGCTAGCATCCGAATGCGTTCGGCCGTTTGGAGGTGCCTGTGAGTGTGCAGACACTTGCGGCGACACAGCCTGCATTATTGGCTCCGAGAGCGGATGATCGTGTTGATCCACTGAAACTTGCATAGACGCATCCGTCTGACTGAGCGACAGGGACTGCTGTTGCCGATCAAGCGGCGACACAAATGCCCCAGATACATGACTATATGCCGCAGGTATTGGAGGTGCTTCATACCTCGGCTCTTGCGTAGGGGACACTGCAGGTGGAGAAATCGGCTCAGCATCTTGAGAAGCAAAAAGAGGCCTTGAGCTGTGCGCATTGTGGTACGGAAGCTGAGGCTGATAGTCGTTCAGTCGCCACTCTACCAAAGATTGGTGTTGCTGCTGCTGATGCGGTCGTTGCACCCATGCATCGTCATTCGGCCATGGTCCATTGTGTCCTGGTGCAGATCGCTCCTGTCGTAGTAGCTCCTCCCGTTGTGCTCGCCAAGTACGATGGGCAATATGGTCCTGGGGTGTCTCGGGGTGTGCTTGTTGTTCTAGTTGTTGCATATATTGAGGGTCCCTCTGAACACTATGCACGTACCCGGACTGCTGTTTTTCGGGGGGTTGCTGTCGTCGCTCAGCCTGTGGAACCATACGAACTCCCTGGTGAGCTGTTTGCTGTTGAATACGTTGATCTACCTGTTCTCGCGCGGCTAAAGAAGCTGCGTAGGCTCCACGCCCAGCTGGACCTGCTTCGACATGGTGCTCATAGTATCCTCCAGGCGGTGGATGCGAACCTTGATCTCGCGTGTGCGCAAGAGTGTTCTCAAATATTGTACTAGAGGGCTGTGCTTCAATCCCAGGATTGGAAGGATGAGACTGGTTCAATTGTAAGCTGCTTTGCCGAGCTTGATGTTCCATCGCTAGCTGCTTTGTTTTAAGGAATGCAGATGCTTCCTCTGAATGTAAACTAGAGGTTCGCTCTCGTGGCGATAGAATTTGCTGCGTTTGCCGCTGATGAGGCTGAGATAGCTTTTGAGGATACATGTTGGGTGCTGGTTGCGAGAGCCCTAATTTTGGACCCATGGGTGGCCTACTTTGTATGGTATGAGGCGGAAGTTGTCCAGGAGGATAGTATGATAGACCAGATTGCTGCAACTTGTTCTGCTGATGCTGAGGTATTCTTTGAAAAGCGGTTGAAGCAGCTGGAGCAGCGGTAGCCTGTTGACTACTCTGTGCCTTCTTTCCTTCTTTTGACATGTTGTATTTTGTAGCCGGTCCATCACCATTCGCACCACCTCGAATGAATAGAGCGCCCAATGCGGAGAGTCTCTTCTTCTTGCCAGATTCTGGTGTTTTCGAGTGTGATACTTGATGGGCCTGGACTTGAACATTGGATGTTGACGGTGGCTGCTGGGATGAAAAGCCGCTCGGAAGGGAGAGTGCAATGGGTTTTTTCGAATCAACACGGAGGTCTACCGACTGTACCTGCAATGAAGCCTGACCAAACTGCGGTTGCTGCCCCATAGTTGGGCGACTATGCGGCAGAGAAGAATGTGACTGGTCGATAAGCCTTTCTGCCGATGCCTCTCTAGGGCGCATGAATTTGTCCATTACGGAGTGAAACGGAGTACCAGAACTGGGATTTGGTGGAAGTGGCTTGAACTGCGAAATCATGGCTGTATTACCAGCGTTGGTCGTAGGCTGAAGCTTCGGCTGTGTCTTGCCACCAAAGCTCTTGAACATTGATGTAAGCCGAGGTTTCGAAGATGACTTCTCCTGGTGTCTTGATGCTTGTTCTACAGGTGGAGACGACGAATTGGTGGGTGGTTTGAACTCCGCAACTTGGTATTGCCCTTGCCTCTGCAACAATTGCTGTTGCAGTTCAAATTGATTTCTTGGTCCATGGGGTTCGATCTGCCCTTGTGCGCGATTCGAGTTACTCTGTGGCCCCGGGATTGCTGACATCTCCTGTTCTGCTAGCGGGACATGACTCGAAGCTTGATTGGCCTGTGGTAACTGACAGTTGAGATTAGGACTTCCGGAAACTGCTTGCTGGGAAGCTTGGTCGCCCGCAGAACGCCAAGAATTGACAGTAATCTGGGTCGTTTTGTTACTGGGGTCGATTGACTTTACCGCCTGGAAGATATTCTTGGGTGGAGATGGGCCAGATGCAAGCGTTGGCTGGTGCCTCAATGCGCTCTGATCCGTTAGCGGTGCCACGTTTGCTGGCGGCTTCGGCGAGTACACTGTATCCATGTATAGTGATTGCTTGGGCTGATTGCGATGCTGCTCAGCGACTGGAGGAAGTTCCCTTGCATTCGCAGACGCGGCCTGGTTGATCTGATCTTGAGGTTTGCCGTCTTGGTCTTCGGGTCCTGAGACGAAGCTCATTGGCCTTTCAAAACTGTATCGTGGACGTTCACCATCGCGAGATGCTGGCGCTGTCGCAAGACCGGAAGTTGAAGGCCGTGGCGGCTGTTGTCGGGTAGTTGTCCCTGGTACCTCGAGATCCCCAAGTCGCAAAGGCTGACCACGCTCGTCTTGCACATCCTTGACAACTCCGTTATGATCTGCGTAAAGATCAAAATCATTGTCTCCACCATACGACATCAGAATCTCCTCTGGGATCTGTGGCGGGACTGCCGAAGGCTTCACGGTGGACTCCGGCTGCATACGACGAATTGTTGACGGGGTCGATCTTCCAGTAGATGTTTGAGAATAAGGGTTGCTTCCCTCGTCAGAGACCATGGCAGATATCTGCGAGAGCATGGATCTTGACCGTTCTGGAGCCGCCGTAGCGGGATGTGAAATCTGGAGTTGCTGTGCTTGGTGCTTGAAGTCCGGAAAGTTGGCTTGACCATGGAAGTAACCGTTTGACATCGCGGGACGTGAATGCTCGCTGTACAATTGTCCAGCCTTGGGTGTCTCCGGACTGTTCTGAGTGATGATGCGCGGAACCTGCCCGGCGGGCGTGACGAGGTTGCTTTTGTCCCCCATGTCATCGGAAGCGCGCTCAGCCACGCGTGGATCAATGGTGTTGTGTCCGCGGTCCCATGACTGATTAAGTGATCCGGAGGCGGCGGTATGCCTTTCAGCGGCGTCGACAACTAAGGAGGGCGGCGCGGAGCGCGTCGAGGTGTCGCTGTCAGCCGCCGCAGCACTGGCCCCCGCAAGGGTGTGGCTAAGCGAAGGCTCCCGGTCCCCATGTCTTCGTATTGCCTGCTGGGCTGGGGCTGCAATCGCGCCAACGGCCATTACTCGACTGCGTGCGTTTGCGTCGCGTTCTTCTCCAGATGTTGTCGCGCGGGTTCCTGCGCTTCCATCTGCATTCCCGAGATTCCGAGTGCTTGTCGGAAGCTGCAAGTCACTCTGAGCAAACCACACAGGACTGAAAGCGCGTTCCGCATCCGCCTTTTCAGCGTTCGACATGCCCTCGTCGTCTTTCAGATCCAACGGCGCATCGGATGCAGGTACATTAGCTTCGAGCGACGATACTCGCCAGACTTTGCCAGTACGAAAGGCATCATCAAGAAGACCCAGAGTAGGCGACTCAACATTAGATGCACGTTCTTTGTGGCGGATCGTTCGTTCTGCGCTGGCGAGCTTGTGGACTGCGTGGTGCGGCGGAACCGAAGAGCTGCCGTAAACAAGGGTCTCGTGTCCGATATCCGGTAACGAGTGTTCTGCAGACTCCTGGGGCTTTTCTTTCGAACTTAGGGTATTGGTGGGATCCATAGACGGCCTTTCTATGGCAGCGACATTGTCTAGTGGCTGTCGCGCCAGCACGAAGGGTGTATCTTCATACCTGATGACTCGGGCTCCATGCAGTTGGTCATCGCGCTCGACATCCTGCACTCTCCCGTTCTTGTTCGATGCCGTACTGGCAGATTTGCCCACAGGAGGTAGTACAGGGCTGACACTGTCAGATTCCTGCTTCGCATTCAGTGCTGTCAATGGTGCAAGACTTCTTCCACGAACAGGCTCCCTGTCGCTGTCTTCATCGCTCACATCCAGGTGTCTGTTAGTGAACATAGGCGGCGATTGTTGACCATGTCGCGAGGATGCTGGTAATGGATCGTGATTCAATTGTGGCGGTTGATCGTCATCATCGATGCGATCATCTCTGACCCTCTCTGGCGATTCGTCACTGAACCCGAATTGAAACCCGTCGCGTCGGAGATGACCAGATTCTGCTGTAGGTAGGTCTGATTGGAAAGATTCCTCTGGGCCACGAAGCATTCTCTTATAGTCATTCGCCCTTTCTTGCGCACCAGAGATGTTATCATCGTCAGCAAAAACTGGATGATGATCGAGGCTTTTTGGTTCCCTCGTAATTGCTGCTGGCATCGAATGTCTGTTGAAAACAACAGGAGGGGTTGAATGTCGAATAACAGATTGCAACATCCGATGGCTGGAACTGTCCTGACTAGACCTACGTCGATAATGCTTGATGGCAACCTCGTTTGGGATGGGGGGAACAGGAGGAACATAGTCTTCAGCGTCCTTGCCCTGATTTGAAAAGGCACTCTTTGCTGGCGAGGGCAATATGCCCAAATGCGCCTGCGAAGAGCTACTTCGCATCGCTGTAGTATTGAAGTACTCGTTGAGAGCAGCCGGCGGAGTGCTGACCCAAGAGTCTGGAGCATGGAAAGAATGCGGCCGACGTTCCCCCATCAGGTAGTGATGGAGCTCGCGGGGAGGCGAGGTCCTAGGTGTCGAGCCAAGGATGGATGGAGTATCTTTCGGCAGCGCTACACTACTCGGTCTGGTTCTGGAGCGACTGGCCCGCCGAAATTGGGACGAGAATGAGAACCGACGCTTCTTCTTTTCTTCGTTCGAGACAATCCCCTTCTTTTCCTTTTCTGTCATGGAGCGTAGCAATTGCACTCCTGACGATGCTCTCGATCTTCGTATAACGAGCTCGGGCTCTTGAGAAGCTTCGCGCGAAGAAGGAGCGGAGTCGGCCCGGTCATACGAGGAGGTCTGAATCACGCATCACATCAGCAAAAAACACCGTTTTAAGGAAGCTGAGCCGCCTCAGTCAGACTTGGGATTACGTTCAGATGATTATGGAGCTACAGGCGAGGACTAAGATCGTAGATGGCGATAGAATGAAACGCCCAAAGCAAGGTCATAAACGCCACTTTCGATGTCCATACGATTACATCCAATCACCCGCTGTAGTCCATGGGCCAAAGGAAATGGTAGTCGTGACATACGATGAGAATGCCACACAAGGAAATGGGTAGAAGAGATCATTTATCTACCTTTTCACGGCCGAAACGGCTCTTGCCTTTCGCAAACAATCCCTTCGCACTGGTCATGCCTTTCCCTCCTAACACATTAGCAGTATGAAGCAAGTCCTTGCCTTTCAATTGCATCTGCTGGTTTGCAATTCGTCCGCCAAATCCTGAACCAGAAGGTGCAGGGTTGGTGGGAGAGCCTGAGTTCGCGGGAACTGGTACGCTAGCATTATTATTCTGATCAGCGCTCACGTCGTAGCTACTCGAACCACCAAGTTTGCCAAACAGTGCAAGAGAGCCTGTGTGCCTGTGACGTGCCGAGCTCGTAGGCATACGCTGTACTGGGTACGTCTGCGTAGCCAGCTCGGGGTTTGCTTCGAGCGCAGAACGTAGCCAGTCATTAAGGCCATGATCAACTGTCGCCCAGTACTCGCGTGTCTTGTTGTAGGTGTCAATTCGCTCAGCAGCGGTGTTAAGCGTTGCTATCTCCCGAGCGCCCAAAGGCTTGTCCGTGCTTGGCGACTTCGGCGAAGGCTCCTGTACGGCAATAGGTGTTTTCGGCTCCTCGTCAGATGGCACGATTGCGGGATGTTCCGCAGGCTGCTCTATCTGTTGCTTCTCGTTTAAGCCGGATCCTCTGAATCCCGAGGGCTGCTCATGCTCCACACTGAAACGTGGAGGTAGATCCACGGCTTCGGGACTGAGCTCTGTGTTAACAACATGAAGTCGCGGAGAGCGTGTTTCTTCTCGAGCAGGGCTGATTACGGAGCGCGCAGTATCAACGGTTGGAGAAGCAGATCGTTGCGGCATATCACTGCTACTACTAGGGTCAGGTTTAGTAACCGTGAAAGTGTGCTCTGGGCCAAAGTACGAGTCTGAAAGGCCTTCTGACCACTCTTGCCGTTCTTGATCTGCAGCTCGTTCCACGGTGGGAATAGGACTCTCCGTTGCCTGTGAGGCTTTTGTAGGCTCAACAGCGGCTTCACCCTGCGCTTGCTGGTCTGGTGTTTGCAGTTGCGGATTGCTTGCTTCCCAGCTAAATCGATTGAGTATCACAGGCTTGGTCGGTTCTTCCGATTGTGGGAGGAAAGACACGGTCGCATCGGATGGCTGATCTTGAGCATAGCGCTCAGTAACCTGCGAAGATCGACGAGAAGCCCGGTCTTCATCTGCCCAGTAGGTATCATACTCACTGGGCAGAATAGAGCTAGCACGATTTGTGCCTGGGCTGACGGGGTGGAGCGAGGCTTGATTAGACTCGCTGGCCGGCGACGCTGGAGCCTTGAAAGGGCTGAGACTGGCGACAATCTCCTTGCGAAGACGGTCGCTTTCCTGGTCTTCAGCTGAAGGGTCAGTACTCAACTGAGGATCGAGACTCGGCCGCTTAGGCTGACTCTTAAAGGGCTGTGAGGGCCTCTCTTTCAAAGGCGGGGGTGGTGGAAACTCTGATTCCGGAGTGTCTTTCGCAGGGGGGGTTGGGGGCACGCTTGAGCCGGAGGTGCCCGTACGATCTAGCTGAAGAGGCCTTGGTAGATAGATATTTCCATGGTCAGCACGGCGTGCTTGCTGCTGTTGAGTCTCGGACGTTTGGTCATCGGCACCCAAGGTTGTGCGGATAGAATTGACCATCGCAGCTCCAGCATCTCTAAGAGCGGCGAGCGGGTCTGGGGTGTCTGTTTCTGCCGACAATGCCCCAGCAAGTGGCTGCTTGTCCGTTGTAGGCGTCAGATCGGATTTGGTGAGCGCACTCGGACCATTGTTCGCGAAACTCAATCGACGGTCGTGCTCGCCCTGATCCGAAGGTGTCATAGCGGTAGTTGCATAAGACTCCCACTGGCCTGGAAGATGGGGACGAAATTCTTTGACAGGACTACTAGGTTTCGAAGGGCTAGCTTTCGTTGGAGACGCCGCACGTGAATTGTCGTTGCTCCGTTCCCACGATTGAACACTGTTCCTCGAACGATTGGACTGTGTAGAGCCACGTCTCGAGGATGCTACCTCTCCGAATTTGCCAGCCAACGCCTGCACACGACCCTTGCTTGGAGACTCTGAGCGATCGCGCGGCAAGCCATCATCGAGAGGGCTCTGCGCGTTATGCGATTCGAGGAAATTGTTCTGTGATTGAAGCTCTGAAGCGCCCAGTGCGGGTGCGCCATTGTCTGGACCGTCCCTAACAGCAGTAGCAATGTCTGCCTCGCGAGTAGCATATGCAGGGGATGAACCTTGAAGGTCGCCTTCCATTGCGCCCGGAGTTTCGTTGCTTTCCGTCGTGACAAGAGCGGATTCGGGTTGGGGTACGTCTCTGCTCGGTGCTAAGACAGGGGATCGTGCAGGACTGTCACCGCGTGTGGGCGTAGCGAGGCCACTGCGCGGTAGAGAGGAGTTGGAGAAGTTGCGACTGTGACCTGGCGACGGTTTTCGTGGAACGTTGTGCATGGGCTCGACGATCTTCGCGGAGGTTGGCTGGGTGACGGGCGTCGTGACTTCACTTGGTTCTTCTGCAATGGCGGGTGTGGTGCTTTCTGCCTGATCACGGTTTTTCAATGCTGAGGCTGCTGAGCTGGGCACGCGGCTCATGATTGGGCTGATTCCGGAAGTGCTTCCAGTGTTGCTCCTCAGAAGGTCTGAGGTTGAATCGTTGTCATTTGATATGGGCGTTGGCGGAACGGAGCGCGATTCATCAGCGCGAGTAAATGCTTGATCAACTACGGAGCGTAGACCCTGGTCATCCTGTGGTGACACAAGGGGTTGATCTTGCTGGGGTTGTTGTTTGTCGTGCGGGGCTGCTGCATCATAATCAGGCAGATACTCGCTCTTGCGCTCAGCGACAGTTTCCATGGGCTGCAGCGATCGTCCGCCTTCTTGAGCGGAGACGACATTGTCCTGTGTCGGGGAGGAAAGAGGGCCCAGGCTTGGTCGCGATGATTCCATTGACGCCCGCTCCCGCTCCTCTTGGTGCCGCTTGTATATGTCGGCTGGTCTGATGAAGGGTAGCGGCTTGTCAGATGCCTGACTGCCATTGCGTGATCGTGGCGAAGTAGGCATTGGCATGTCTCCCTGGCCTATACTGCTCTTGCGCGGGGGGAATTGTGTATTGAGCGGCGGGGCGAAATCGGCAGGGACCTGGGATATGCGAGTCTGGAGAGGCGGGGGCATGGCAGAGGGGCTGAAGTCGCTTCTTTCTCCCACGTGATAGCCCTGCTCATGCTCATGGCCATGTCCATGTTGGGGTTGCGGTATTGTTGAGGAGAAAGCGCGCTGTTCCTCGCCGTGCTCGAAGGAATTTCTTCGGGCTCGTGGGAGGGGCGCCTGCTGGGACGGGTCGGTGAAGCTGCGCGATGGTTGCTCAGTCCGCTGGGCATAGTATCGCTGCGCCAGAGGCTGTGGCTGCTCGGGCTCCTGGTTGACGCCGTATTCGTCATACTCGTCGTAGCCGCCCCAATCGTCGCCGTCGTAGGCGTTCTTCTTTGCCTGGACCCATTTCTTGGTTTTGGCACGGTTGACGTTGGTCTTGAACGACACAGGCTGGCCTGCGGAGAAGGGCGACGCGGTCCGATCGCTAACACGAGTCAGTCTAGGAAAGCAGGCGACGTGCGCGTGCAGAGGTGGTACCTACAGCGGCGATCTGGCTTCCTCTTGCTGGAAGCGGAAGGGGCCAGACATGATGGCGTAGGACGGTCCGGAGATGCCTAGGATGCACCACTCTCGCTCTACTAGGGCCGAGCCCAACGCCAGCTATGTCCTACAGCGCATGCAACCGGGAGACGCGGGGGGCAGCCTGCCGAGATGGAGTCTGCGACAACGGTGGTGGCCAGGCGGTGCGCGAGTGCAGCGCGGGGGGTTGAGGCGGTGGTGGTGCGGGTGGCCGGCGTGGTGATAGACAGCGTGAGCGTGAGCGTGGCTGGAGCAGGGCGGGAGGGTTGATGAGGGTTCGACCAAGCTTCCGGGGGATACGTCACCTGCCTGCGCGTGCGAAAGGCCCGACGTGAGCACGACAGAGACGCACTCGACGAGAGCACCTGGGCAGGGGAGGGTGGGCGCAGAGGAGGAGGTGAAGGAGTAAGGAGAGCTAGCGACCAACCCGTCTTGACGCAGCTGCTCCGCGCGGTCTGACGGGTCTACGGCCAGTATAGCGCCACTGCTGGGAGCCGTGGAGGTGTGGCGCAGGGCAGCCGAACTAACTACGTTTCCCCATTTCACCCCGGCCCAGCCCTCGACCCTCAACACATTCCGCTTTTCTCTGCCCGACTCGCCAGGAACACGCCGCTTCCGATTCACCACCGCGCACGACACCTCCAGGCCAAACCCCGCCGACGCCGCCAGCTCTCGCCCGCCCCGTTCACGAACCGCGTTTCGCGCGCCATCACCTCACAATTGGAACTCGCCCTCGGTCGCCTTGGATCCTAGAGCAAACGTGGCCTGAGCAAATCCGCGACTGCACACGATTCTGCCATCTGCCTCGGCGCAACTTCGACGTCTCCTGTGCATCCGCAGCGCCTGCTGTCCTGCCCGCAGCTGGTGCGCCTCCCCCTTTCCGCCCTCGCCCTCCCACCCACACCACAACAAACCATCAACATGGCCGTGTCGATACAGGACCGCACCGACGAGTTCCGCTCTATTCTTGCACAGGCTCGGCGGCGGCAAGCGCAATCCAAGACGGGCGCGCAACGGCAGTCGCTCCTCACAGCACAAGAGAAGACGCAGGCAGATGCCAACCCCCGGCGTCAGCGCTCTGAATTTGCGCGCAATGCTGCCGACGTCGCGCGGGGTGTTGCGAGCACCATGCAGAAGCTCGAGCGCCTTTCACAGCTGGCCAAGCGCAAGACGCTGTTTGACGATCGGCCAGTCGAGTTTGACGAGCTCACCTTTGTCATCAAGCAGGACATGACTGCACTGTCAGGCCAGGTGCGGGCGCTGCAGCAGATGAATTCGAAGCAACACCCCAGGGCGAAACCCGGTGTGGACCAAGAAGGAGAGCACAATGGCCAAGTCGTCAAGCTGTTGTCCGACAAACTAACCAACGTGGGAACCAACTTCAAGGACGTACTGGAGGTGCGGACAAAGAATATGCAGGCATCGCGATCCCGCACGGAGCAATTCCTGTCAACAGCTGCACAGCAATCCCACAGCAACCTCGAGCCAGGCCGGACCGATTCTCCACTTTACCAAACCCCCCAGCGAGGTCGATCACCAGGAGGCTTTGGCCGGAATACCAACGCAGCGCAGCAAGACCTGCTCTCGCTCGAGCCTTCTGGATCGTCAGCTCTGACGCGAGGCGCACCGCAATCGGACGCACAACTGCTGCTCATGGAAGAGGCCCAGCCCCAGAACGCATACATTCAAGAGAGAGGGCGAGCCATTGAGTCCATAGAGTCTACTATTCAAGAGCTAGGAGGCATCTTCAGTCAGCTCGCCCAGATGGTGTCCGAACAAGGAGAACAGATCCAGCGCATTGACGCAAACACCGAAGACGTTGTAGACAACGTCGAGGGTGCCCAACGTGAGCTGATGAAGTACTGGAGCCGCGTGCAGGGCAACAGGTGGCTTGTCGCAAAGATGTTTGGTGTGCTGATGATTTGTACGTATACCCGCACACTCGTACATTGAGAACATACTAACAAGGCTTAGTTTTCTTGCTTTGGGTCCTCATCTCTGGGTAGATCTGCCCTTCATGGCTACGGCATTTTCAGGCGTTCAGCAACATAAGAGGCGTTTCTACCAGCTCGGTCTGGCATCGGACTGGACGCGCACTTCTCACTTGTATCTATATATTACTTTTGTCGCATGTTTCACTTTTGGGCCTGGCTTATGATCACCATTATGTCATATGAGCGAGCCGTTATAAGCTACTATTAATGAATTCAACCCGTCTTTTCACTTACCATATCAGGATGTTTTGCTGGGGGAGTGAAAAGCTTCCTGGTAGCTCGGTCCATGTCTGGTAGTCGCCTAGGGTAGTAGTGTAGTACCCGTCACGAAATTTGAAATACAAATGCGTGTACTCTGGGTCAAATTCGAACATGTTCTCACTGCGACAATCGCCTACGTCATCGATCAAGGCGGCTGTGTAGTCGACTGTAGGATGAAACCAAACTGCGCAGTTGTGCGTGTTCCACCGCTTCTTATTCTTGATGGCCCCTGCGCGGTATCACCACCGTCGCAACGGAATTATCATTTTCACACGCTCATGGATGACCCCGACACGGACGGCTACCACCTAGGTGGAACAGCTGAACATCGGAACCTTGGAAATCATGGCAACTAAGCGGCAATGCCGAAGCTATTCTCCAACCACCTAGTGGGCTCCCGGCAAAGTATTCCGGCTACACCACTACGAGTCGTAGATGGAGGTGTGACAGGCGCCGAACTATGCACGTCACCGCCATGACAGCCGAAGTGATATCAACGGTGCTTAGGTCGTCACTAAGCGGGCCTGATTGGCGGCGCGAAACATGTAAAGTGCGACATGACGAAAAAGACGGCGCAACGTCGGTCGGATAGCTGCGTTCGACGGGCGCGCGCAAACTCATTATCGGCCATGGACAGATGCCATATCGGTGTTTGGCGGGTGGGATGGCTTGCAGGCGACTTGCTGAATGCAGCACCAGCAGATGATCCACCTGCTGCAGAGTGGGCGTGTGGGCGCCCGTCTTCCATGCTCTAGCGCCCACTCTTTCCATCCGTACCTATGTCAACCACACTTCTCACACCGTCGTGCGTCCTCGACACCTGACCCGCCCTCTGTTTGCTGCACCCCTCCGTTAGTCGCCCAAGCTTGTGTGCCGCCCTCCCACTGGTGCCGCCTGTCCTGCGCAAGAAGAGACAACCCTTGCGCCGCTCGCATGTCTTGGTAGCGACCACTTCACATCAATCAACAGCCAAGTGCATGCGCGCTCCGGCGCAATGCCTGACCGCATATGGGACGAAACCGTTGCGCTTGGCACGGCTCCCATATTCGACGATGCTGTATATCTAGCCGAAGCCTTGGGTCTACCTATGAATCAGAATGAGCACCATCTCGACGCCGAGGTGGCGCTGCTTGCTCGCGAATCTGGTATCCTCGATCCTTATCGCTTCGTACCCCCGCCAGAAGCCATCTCTCGCGCAATCTCGACTATGACGCTGGATAGCGATCAAAGAAGCTCCAGGTCAATTCACTCTCAAGAAACGCAGTCAACAAGCTTCACGTCTGCGCCTTCCCGAACGTCGAGGGACCACATTATCTCCAGTGACGGCTCAACCACAAGAAGGGCACCTCAAGCACGCCCACAGATTACGTTACCTGTCAAGAAGTCTCGAGACTTCGTTGACCGTCCCGAATCTGATTTCCAGTCAGGACAAACATCGACACTGTCCATCACTCCTTCCGCAATGTCCAGCTCAGCCTCGTCACAGCAAGCGCAACCAAGGAGGAAGCGGGGCTCCGTCATTTTCTCCATGTTCCGAAGGGATTCAGGGTACGTCTATTGACAGTGACTTACGACAGCTTCTCACTAAGTCTTTCCAGTAGTACTTGCACCACGTCCGCGTCGCACCACGGACATCACAGCAGGCCTCGAGGCGCAAAGCTGGTATGCGGTCACATATTGTCTGAGTCCGACGTTCGCGCACATATACAAGGATCATTAAAGAGAGGCGCGCACGTAGCGCCCGATTGCTGTGGAAGCGCACTACCGCAATCCATTCTAGAGCGTTTCCAAACAAAAGACGATCCGGGGCTTGCTACGGAGACTGCTATCGAGCTGTCTGAGCCTCTTTCGCGCGACTCTGGCTACTGCGAAGCTGTGACATCAACTGCTGACAGCTCACATCTCATAATTGACCCTCCAGTTTCAGACAATTCCACCACTTTGCCACAATCTCCAATGAGGCGCACCCGACACGAGGCGATCAGCATCGACTTGGCGTTAGCTAAAGAGGCTTTTACAAGTTACAGGGCGCAACAGAAGGAAGAGCTTGCGCGTGTCTCGCTGTTCGAGTGCAGCCAAAGAAAAGCTTTGTCAGCATACCAATGTTGTTCAATGCAGCAACTGGGAGCACAATTTGAGATTGATAAGGGCGAACGGATTCGACAGGTAAGTATCATTCGTGTTGATGTGATGTACGTCAGCTGACTCAAGCGATGTAGCACAACGAGGACCTGGAGCGATTAGAAGAACGACAACTTCTCGCTGAACACGATCTCTTGAAAGCACAAGCTCAGGAGACACAGAACGTAACAACAGCACTAAAGTATATTGAGGCGTATTGCCTGCGTACGAGAAGCAACCAAGAGCGTGTGCATACTGTGTCGGAGGAAGACTTGAAGAAGCTGGACCACCAAAGACTGATCCAACAGGATCTTCCCAGACGACACGCGAGTGCAATCAACGTCTTACGAGCAAGGCAAGAGATGGACACCGCACGAAGACTAGAAGCACATGAAGCAGAGCTACAACAACTAGACACTGAGCACGAGAGAAAGAAGTTTGCAAAAGAGGCGGAATATCAGAAGGAGCTGGCAAGGCTTGAAACCATCATCGAATCAAGAAGAAAGAGGCTTCTACAAAGGTGGGATCTCAGGTTTGAAATATGGCGGCGAGACTGGGAAGCGCAACACAACACGACTCTGACCGTAGAACTCGAACACGAAGACTGGCCATCTCGCAAAGCAGATCACACAA